TAGTACTTTTTTGGTGTGAGGTTTTGTTTGTCTGAGAATGTCCTTATTCTTTCTTCACAGAGAAAGGAGAGCTTTGCAGGGTAAAGTATTCTTGGTTGGCATTTGATGTCTTGGAGTTTGTTGAATATGTCCCTGCACTCTCTCCTTGCCCTTAGTGTTTCTTCAGAGAAGTCTGATATCAGCCCGATTGGTTTTCCGTCATAGGTTACTTGTTTCTTTCCTCTTATCATTCTCATTGTTTTTTCTTTCTCTTGGATTCTTGGTAGCTTTATTATTATGTGTCTCGCTGCATTTCTTCTTTCATAATGGTAGTTTGGTGTTCTTGTCACATCTTATGTCTGTTTTCATCTCCTTCATATTAAGGAAGTTTTCTTCAATTATCTCTGAATATTTTCACGATTCCTTGGACTTTCTCCTCATCTTTTAGGAGACCTACAACTGATATTTTCTCTTCTCATGGTGTTGGATAGCTCTTGAAGTGTATCTTCATCCCTTTTCCTTTTTACTCCCCTTTTTTCGGTTTTGATTCTCTTTTTGTCTTTGAAGGTGCTGATTTATTCTTCCATTTCAACTATTCTGTTTTCATTGCTTTTCCCAGAATTTATCTCCTCCAGTATTTTAATCTCCTGTTTTCCTTTTATTTCCTTTTTTAAGGTCTCATTTTCAGTCTTCAGTTCAATGATTGTCTTTTTTCCTTTCATCTTTTTGTTTATCATGATGATTCAGAATGCTGACAGACTGAGCAGTTATTCTATATCTTGATTTATGGTGCTGATCTTTTTGTGGTGAATTTTTCCTGTATGGGCTTGCTTGGCTATTTGTGTTTTTTCTTCTGTCATTTATTGCCTAATGTTTTCTATGTGTTGAGTCACTATTGTTGCTAGTATTGGTTGATATTTCTTCTGGGTGCTCTTTTTGGGGTGGCAGGCCGAGGGTGAATATTCAGACCCAATCAAGGACTAATGTGCCAATCCTACACAGGGGGTGATGTTTTATGGTGTTGTGCTTGAGTGCTGTATCTGGTGGCTCCTTGCCTCTGTGTTTCAACTGTTTTAAGGGGGGGAGAGGGTGGTGATATTTCTAGTTTGTGATTGTGATTGGGGGATGCAAGCTCTTGTTAGTGGTGGTAGTCTCTCTGTTGCCTGCTTTTGTTAGGGGGGCTTTGTGCTCCTTTTGGCAGTGGTCCCACTCCTGGCCTAGTCTCCAGTTCAGATGAGGTACTGTGCACTGACACTGTCCAACTTCTTGTTATGACCAGGTGCTGTGTGCTACCTATCCATTACTGCAGAGGATCCCTGCCTGTTCCAGTGAGCTGCAGCCACGCCCTGCCATCCTTTCTGTTACTGGCCAGGACCTGATAGCAGGCTGTCATGCCCCACCCAGCCTCCAAGGTCCTAGGGAGTGGAATCCAAGTTTCCCTGTTCAGGGCAGAGCCCTGTCTGTTTCAGAGCCTGAAGCCAGCCCTGTGCTACCACTCTTCCAGATAATGGCTGGGAGTTCTGTGCAGGCTGTCATGCCCTGCACCCAAGGTCCTTTGTTTCTCCTGGGGTGTTCAGATGTGTCAGTTTTCCCATTTGCTTTCACCTTTTATCCCTCCTCCTCTTCTTTCCTTGATCGAGGTGTTCAGGTTTTGTAGGTGGGGGAGGGTGGTCAGGGTCCTGATTTATATTTCCCTCTTGTTTCTTCTTCCATTGCTTTAACTTTCCTCCTATTTCCCCTGGGTCACCAATGCTGCTTCTATCATCTGAGTTTTGGCGGGAGTTTGCTGTAGTTTTTTCAATTTACTATATCCAAGAAAGAATTTAATCCTAGTGACTCTTGGTGGCCTTATTGGGCTCACAATATTTACTTGTCAACAAAGCCTTCACTTAACTTTATTCTCTAGAAGGCTCAGGGTGTCCGTGAGCTCATTGTTTTCTCAACTAATACTGCATTTGGAGTGCACTGGCTGGTACTCTGTGTCTGTCTGGAGTGAGGCTGCAATGATGTTTGGGTTGAAAACCCCAGCCAGAGGCTGGGCCTACCTGTGCACCCTTTTCCACTTGTCTCTTGGAAGGGCGGGTGGCAGGTAGGGGCATCCTGGAGACCTTGGAGGTGCTCTCTCCCTCTGGGCTATGGCTGAAGTGTTCTCTCCCTCTGGGGGATCGCGTTCTCCCCTTGGCTGAGGCTGCAGCAGTTGGTGGTCTTCACTGAAGGCCCCTGAGAGCTTGTCTGGGGCAGGGCAGGGCCTGGTTGTGAGCACTTTTCTGCTGATTTCTAAAGAAGGGGAGGTTTTTCCCTTTTCTCTACTACCTGGAAGCCCCAGATGTCTGTGTGCACACAGCTTTCCCAAACAATACTGGCACATGGAGCGCACCGGCCAGTGCTTGCAGTCTGCTTTTCCATTGCATTTTATTCCCCAAGATAAAAGATTCATTGTTCCACAGGAGAGTTCCATATATTCATGTGTTTTCCAGCTACTATTGATTTCTAATTTCATACCATTGAGGTTAAAAGAGACACTTGGTATGATTTCCGTCTTTGTACCTTATTATATGACCTGTTTACAAAATATGCTTGAAAAGAATGTATTTTGCTTTTGTCAGATAGAATATTCAATTCAGGTGCACCTTCTTTCATAATGTTTTGCTTTATTGTACTTTGCAGATATTGTGCTTTTTAAAAACTGAGGTTTTGTGGCAACAATCTCCTGCATGGAGCACATCTGTCAGCTCCATTTTCCTAGCAGCATATGCTGACTTTTTCCTTTGTGTCACATTCAGTTAATGTATGCACATTTTTCTTTTAGACATAGCGCTATATATATTAATAGACTACAGCTTCATGTAAGCAGTCTTTATGTGAACTGTGAAATCAAAAGCTTTTGTGACTTTATTGTAACATTCGCTTTTCTGTAGTGGTCTGGAATTGAACAATGTATCTGAGGTGTGCTTGTATGGTTCATTTGATCTATAGTGTTTTTTAGATCTGATGTTTCCTTATTGATTCTTTATCTTGAGATGTATACATTTTTGAGTGTGGGGTGTTAAATTATCAACTATTATCTTTTTGCTGTTTTATTTTTTTAGTTTTATTAGTGTTTCTTTATATATTTATGTACTCTGATGTTGACATATATATATACATATATATTTGATTGGTTGACAAATAGATAATGAAATTTAATTTTTCACTTTTTTTACATTAGTCTCTCATCTAATACAATCACAGCTATTCCTGAAATTTTGCTTGAAATAATTTTTTCTATCCCCTCACTCTAAGCCTGTTTGTTTTTAAAAGGTAAAGTGAATCACTTGTAAGCTGTATATTTTACTCTATCAAACCTTCTAAGTCTATTTACATATATTTAAAAATTTTTAGATTTATTTATTCATGTACACAAGGCTGGGATGCAGGCCAGAGATGCAGGGGTGTCAGAGGATTCACCAGAGACAGAGTAGGCAGCAGAACAGGCAGATGGATGAAGTACACTGCTGAGGGGAGCAGCCGGGAAGGCAGGAGAGGTCTGCCACGCCATGTGGGTCATGCTCCTGGATGGGGATTGAGTTCTGAAGCTGCAGTGGGTTTGGATTGCCTCATAGAGCTGCCTTTTAACCTCTTGTGTGACATAAAAGGGAGTCCCTCCTTTTATATTTAAATTGCTAATAGATATGTAGAATTTGCTCTTGCATTTTTTTATTGTTTTGGGACTACTTTATAGATCTTCTCCTTGATTCTTTATCCCCTTGTTTTCTTTTGTGGCGTGATGATTTTTGGTATTTGTATATTGTGGCTTCTTGTTAATTGTTTAACTACTGTCAGTTTTAACAGTTAATGTGAGGCTTACATAAAATACCATAAAATTATAATAACCTATTTAAACTGATGACTTTGATAGCATTTCTAGATTTTTACTTCTCCCTCACACTTTGTATTGTTAGTCTTTTTTGTTAGGTTTCTAACAACAGATAGTTGTAGTTATGTGTATTTTAAATAATGAAAAAAAGCGTTTTAACTAAAGTTGCTAGTGAGTTAGATACCATTATTACCATTTAAGGGAATCTAATGCAGTATATCTGTGTGTGTATTTACTATTACAAATGAGTTTTATACTACCTTGATAATGTTTTTACAACCACCCAAAGTACTTTAAGAGTTTCTTAGAAGAAAGGATACTAGTGGTGATGAGCCTCCTTCAACTTTAGTACTTTTCCTTCATTTCCAAAGGACAGCTTTGTCAAGAAGACTATTCTTTGTTGGGAGTTTTTTTTTCTTTAAGTATTTTGAGTATAACAGCTCATTTTCTGTGATCTGAAAAGTTGAGCAGTTTATCCATATTGCTATGGTTATGTAATTTGTCACTTTTTTTACTTCAAAAAAATTTTTTTTTGACAATTAAAAATATGTCTTAGTCTATCTTTGTTTAGATTCAGATTATATGGGATTCTTTGAACCTCAGGTGTGTGAATGTCAAATTTTCTCCCCAGGTTTGTGAAGTTTATTTAATATACTTTCTGTCCCTTTTTATTTTGTCACCTCCTGCTGAGATTCTAGTAATGTATTATTTATTTTGGTGATGTCCTATAGATCCCATAGATTTTCAAAAGCACTCTTTTCTCTTTATTGCTTTTCTCTTTATTGGATAGCTTTTAAATGTCTGGCCATCAATAGCTCACTGATTTTTATTCACGATTTTATCTGATGTTGAAGCGCACTTTTTCTCAGATAAGTTGTACTCCTCACGTGTAGTAGGATTTCCTTTTTAATGTTTTTTTTTTTTATTTCTTTGTTGAGCTTTTGTCTGTGCATTGTTTTCCTAATTTTGTCTGTACTCTCATATTTACTAGACATCTCGGGTTTGTTCTGAATTCTCTTGACAGTTTATGAATGTCCACTTTTTTTTTAGAGTCCTTGAGGCTTTATTAATTTCCTTTGATGCTTTCATGATTTACCTGATTTTTTTTATGATCTTTGTTTCCATGTGTTGGTATCTGCACATTTAAGTAAGTGTTCTCTTCCAGACTTTACAGGTTTCTTTCGGCAGAGAAAGTCCATTACCAATCAACTCACCTTGGAGTTCTGAGTGGGTAAGCTGGTAGTATTCTGGGCCAGATGGGGCTTGTTATCAGGGTCTGTTTCTGGGCAAGGCCACCTGCTTGAGGATAAAGGGATAGGTTCGGTTGACTGAGAACAGTTGGCTGGAACTGCTGGGTCACTCCCCTGTCTAAATGAAGCTGTAAAGTAGACTCTGAAATTGTCTGTATTCTCTACTCAGGTTTAGACAGTTAAGACTGTGCTGGGCAGCAGAATAGACCACAAAGCTTATATGACTCATTAATTGAGGGTTCATATCATTCAAGATTCAAACTCCTTGATTGGACAGGGCCACTGGGTTTGCATGTAGACAGAGAAAGCCACAGGCTGTGCTTTCTGTTCAAGTGCCACTATAAGTGGAACTGCCACACAGGGTACACAGTAGTGTGCAGGTTTATGAATTAATTTTCCTGCCCTGGTATGAGTCCTCAAAGCTGGCAAAACTTATTTGGTGCCAAATTAGAAGGCAGTTACACTAAGTATCCTGGCCTGATGACCACCATCCTATCTTTACCAATGGGTATGGCACTGGTTAGACTCTACTTAAATGCTGCTTTAATCAGATGAATTAGTTTCTGATATCTGCTTAAGCTTCGGCACAGGCCATGCTGGAGACTGTATTCAGCTTTGGGTGGATCTATAAATCATATTTGCCCAAGAACATAACCCAACCAGCAAGGGTGTTAAGGGATCAAGTCAAAAAGCATCCATTCCTGGCCAGATGGACTACTGTGTGCTCTATAGACACAGTATCACTGGCCATCCCATCCACTCAAGTATAGCAGTAATATGGGCTGCAGAGTGGGTGATCAAGGTTCTTGTGTACTCTGGTTAGTTTTCTTAGTTGGTATGGTTAGATGTTTTATTCAGCAGCAGTAGGAAAGACACTGGATTAGCTTCCCTGAACAGGTAGAATCACAGCAGTTCCCAGGCTGACCGGGCTTGGTTAGCTAATTAAGCAGAACTGTGCATTAAGTTTCTGCCCAAACTGGGTTGATGTTTTGACTTTGCAGATGAGTAGCACCATTGTTAATACTCTCTACTGGGAGTGAAGGTTCCAGGTATCAGATAAAGTTTCCTGATTGGTGGGGCTGTACACTACACTCATTAATAAATGGGCAATGAATTAACTTCCTTACTGGGGTGAAACAGCAATACTGACTGCAAGACTGGCAGATCTCTCTGAGGTCTTGACGCACGCAGAGAAATGTGTTCCAAGTTCTCTGGCCAGATGGGACCACTGGCTTTGCTGTTCAGCTATGCATAACTGCTAGTAGCCATACTCTATATTACAGCACTCCTGGGTTAAGTAGCTTCTCAGTTGCTTAGATTACATGTCCTAGACTGGTCTGAGCTGAGAGCTATGCTTAACTGTAGATGGGGATGTTAACTAGCTCAGTTGTGTGGAAAGAGTGATGGACCAGCTCTTTGAGATCCCCACTAAAGGAATAAACTTATGATTTGCTGATATCACTCCTTGGACCAACAATATCTTGATATTGCATATGAGCAAACCACTGGTTGTGACTTCACTTGGGCATTGTGAATAAAAACTGGGTCTGTCAAGATCCCAGCACTGATTACTGCTCATTCTTCACAATTTGATTCACAGTGATAAAATCCTATAGCCCATTTTCTCCTATCTCCATAAGGTAAGACTGGAGTGGATCTCCTAAGAAGTGACTCTTTTTTTTTTTTTTAAAGACTTATTTATTTATTCGTACAGAACTGGGGTACAGGTCAGAGATGCAGAGGGTGAGAGGATTCACCAGAGACAGAGTGGGATACAGAACAGGCAGATCGATGAAGTACACTGCTGAGGAGAGCAGCGGGCGGATCAGAAGAGGTCTGCCTCGTCATGTGGATCTCCTCCGGGGCAGGCGGGAATCGAACTCCTGAGGAAGTGGTTTAAGCTTCTTTGTGTTGTGCTTTAACCCGCTGCGCCACCAGGGAGGGCCCAAGAAGTGACTCTTAATGCTGGGGGAGCTGTTTGTCTAACTGGGCTTTCTATATGCAACTGGAAAGATCTTAAGCTCAGGAGAACCCTCTTAGTGCTCTGATACACCAGCCTGAAGGAGTGTCAATAAAGTCAGAGTGCTATGATCCTCTTATTTTTCTGATGCAGTCCATTCCAGTCTCTCTGTTGCAGGAGGATGCTTCAGCCCTATATTAGTTTTCTGGGATCTTTATAGTAGTCTCTGTTCCATGACAATTGCCAATTGTTCTTGTGAGTACAGCCGGGGACATCCTATGTTGCCATCTTGTGACATAACACTCCAGAAATATTTTGTTTATCAGGAAATACTTTTGGGTGGTTAGTGAAATGTCATATATAAAAAATTACACCTTGTTTAAAATTATATTTTTCTTAATAGTGTAAGACGAATGGAATGCAAGCCTTTACTCAAGGTCTTAATGAACAACAGCAACATCAGTCTCCAGTTAAAAAAGGTAAACTTAATACTATAATTTTCAAATTTCAGGTGTCTTACCATTTGCCTAAAGTTAATATTATGTTGCTTAGTATAAATTTTATCTTCTTCTGGATGATTTCAGTCTATAGTAGTCTGGCCATCAGCATGATTCCTTTAAAGGTAGACCAGAATAACAATGACAAGATAGAAATTTGTTTCTGTATCTTCTCTATCATATAAAATTTTGAGCCACTGTTCTGTTTCTGCTATGTGAAGTTGCTGCTGACCTGTTCTATTTTATTGCTTTCCCATTCTCAACATGACTTCCATCTCATAGCGCAAGATGAATGCCTTTGTTCCAGTATTGCCTGTTCAGCTTTCATGGTAGTGGAAAAGGGAAAGGAAATCCCTTATAAAGTATTACTGCTGTTACTTACATTCAACATTTCATTGGCCAATGCTGTACCTAGTATCTAAATTGAAAATGCAGTCTTTAGCTGTCAGTTGGGCAGTTGGGCAAGTTTGTTACTGAAGCAGAATGTTTCTCCTCCAAGAAATCATCTTTGGCAAGAAACTTTTTTCTCTTCCTACATCAGCTACTTTTTAAATAAAATAAAAATGATTTAATTTAGTTTTCACATTTTTGTGAAATAATTTTTGTATTTAATACAGAAAGATTCTAGTAGCTTTTCTTAGGGCACTTAACTATTTCTAGATGAAGCACTTATATGCTTCCAAATTTCTCATTTTATTGATGTGTATACACACAATCTTCCACAAGATTCCCCTTATTGCTCACCATCCTGTCTCCCATACCCAGGTATTTTACAGATGTCAGTTGATAACATCATCACTGGTATAGTTGTGTAGCCAGGATATGCATATCTCCTTTTTCATACAATCTATTTTTATTGGTGCTACTACTAACTTGTTTTTTTTCTGTAACTACTATTAACTTTTCCCTTCACAAGGATCAACAACTATGTCAACACTTTTTTTTTTTTATCTGAAATACATCAGTTTCTTCCCCTACCCCCTCAGGAGATTTTTGTCATTGATTTATTCATTATTCTGTTCCTGTATGGGCTAGCTACTGGTAATACAGCTGTTTTTCCAAAATGGACTTTTTCTAATATATTATCTTGGAAGGTCCCTTTGTTATTTCTTTGAATTCTTTTTTTTTTTTTAAAAAAACTTTTTTTTTTTAAAGATTTATTTATTTGTACATACAGAACTGGGGTACAGGCCAGAGGCTCAGGGGCGGTGAGAGGCCTCACCAGAGACAGAGCGAGGAGCAGAACAGGCAGATCGACGAAGTACACTGCTGAGGGGAGCAGCGGGCGGGTCAGGAGCTGTCTGCCGCGCCATGTGGTCACCTCCAGGGCAGGCGGGGATCGAACTCATGCGGCAGTGGCTTCAGCCTCTCAGTGCAGTGCTTTAACCCACTGCGCCACCAGGGAGGGCCCTCTTTGAATTCTTTTTACTGAAGTAAAAAACATCCTTGAAACCATTTTAAAGCACATAATTCATTGACTTTTTTTACACAGTTGAGTAACCATCACTATTATCTAATTCCAGAATGTGTTTATCACCACAATGGAAAGAAACCTCATTCCTATTAAGGTGTTAATCTCCCTGTCTTTTTTGCCCACCCACTGGTAAACATTACTTTTTGTCTTATGGATTAACTAATTCTGGGTGTCTCATCTACATACGGTTATGTATATGTTTTTTTTTTTCCCCTCAACTTTCACTTACCACAGGGCTTCATGAATGTGTAGCAAGTGTAAGTACTTCATTGCATTTTATGACTGAATAGAATTCCATTATGTGGATATGGAATTTTGTTTATCCATTTCTCAATTGAAGGACATTGGGTTATTTTTACATTCTGGCTTTTATAAATAGTGTTGCTGTGAATATTTGCATATATGTTTTTTTCAAACCCTTGTTTTTGTTTTTTTTTTTTTTTTCTCTTGGATCTATACCTTGCCATAGACTTGTCAGGTTATTAGTATTTCTGTTTAGCTTTTAGGAGCTGCAAAACTTCTACATTTTACATTTTTTTCCCTAAAGACTTATTTATTCATACAGAACTGGGGTACAGGCCAGAAATGTGAAGGGTGAGAGGATTCACCAGGAACAGAGTGGGGAGCAGAACAGGCAGATGGACTAAGTACACTGCTGAGGGGAGCAGTGGGCTGGTCAGGAGAGGTCTGCCACGCCATGTGGTCACCTCCGGGACAGGCGGGGATCGAACTCATGTAGAATTGGCTTAAGCTTCTTAGTGCAGTGCTTTAACCCGCTGTGCCAGTAGGGAGGGCCCATTTTACATTTTTAGTAACAATGTGTGAGGATTCCAGTGTCCTCGTTATAGTCTTTTTATTATAAGTATCCACTGGGTGTGAAGTGGAATCTTATGTTGATTTTGACTTACCCAAAAATCGTTATTAGAGAAATGTGTCCTCTTATGTGTTTGATGGCAATTTATATTTATTCAGGGGGAAATGTCTTTTCAACTCTTAAACGTATTTTAATTGAGTTCTTTCCTCCTTGAGTTGTAAGAATGTTGAATTGTCAGCCTGAAAAGTGGGAGTTTATGCTCTACAGTACTTTCTCTGTTGTCCTTCTTGGGGCCCCAGGCCATGTGGTGCACCTCAGCCTTTCTCCTTATCCACTTTGTTCTTCCGCTAGGTTAAGGCCACACCATCTCTATCCCCTCCTCTCTGGGGTCTGCTTCCCTGCTGTCTCTGTATGCCCTGACCTGTCCCTTCCCCAGACATTTGCCTTCTTGAGTTCTCTCCAGATAACTTCCATCACACAGATGCTTGGATTTCTCTGGCCTCTTTTTTTAAATTTTTTTTCTCCAGCATTTTATTTTTTACATCATTATTCATTTTGACCTCTCTTTAAATGTAGTCTCTATTGTTCTTTGAGATACAGGGGTTGCTTTAGCCTCTCTCTGATCTATAGTATTTGTAAGTGTTATAGTCATGAATAGCTGTCACTCTTATGAGAGAAAGTTAAACAAGGAATATCCTACTTTGTTCTCTAATATCAGTCTAATGCATTAATAATTTCTTTTACTGTTTTTTTTTTCTTCTAGTTGCTTACTGGTTAATATTAGGTTTGACTTGGATTATTTTCTTTGATGTAGCTCTACATTTGTACTGAAAACTACTTTCATTTAAGCCATAGGTTTTGATATATTTTTATTTTCAAAACGTTTTGTCATTTTGCTGTTAATATTTGATCCATTTGGTTGTTTTAGAGTATGTTTTTACTTTCCACATACTTGTAAACTAACCATTTTTACTTCTGGTTATATTCCACTGTGGACAGAAAGGATATGTTTCTGTATAGGGATTAACTTTGTGGCCTAACATGGCTCACCCTGGACAAAGTATATCTTACTAATATTGTTGAGTAAAGCTATTTGTGTATATACATACATATCATACACACAGTCTAATTGGCTTAGAATAGTGTTCATGCCCAGTACTTACATTTTGTCTAGTTTCTCTATGTATTGTTGAAAGTGGTATTGTGAAATCTTCAGTTTAAGTATGTCAATATTTATAAATGCATGGGATTTAGGAGCTCTGCATAAGAAAACAGGGTAAAAAATAATCTTGGTGTTCTTATTGCTGGGGAAATTAATGTTTTCAGAGCTCTATTACAGGAACTGGGGACACAGGCCAATACAATTTTTCTCTTATTTTACAATATATGGACTTTTAGGTTGCTTATTTCACTATCAGCCCAGGAGATAGTTTGTGGTGATCATCTCTGATGTAAAATCTGCAGATACCTGTCTGAATCATTGTTTCCCTAAATAAAATGGGAATGTTGAGTCTTTTCACCATTACTAGGCAAGTCCTTGAATGATACTGATTACATTATATTTTTAGTAAGTTAATAAAAGGCTATAAAGGGTTTTATTTTGGTAGGATCTGAGCTTCCCAAAAGGTTTACTGCTGCATGAAATATAAAATTGCCTTATAGATGTGAATAGTAACATTAATGAAACCTTTTATCTATTTGCTTCTGGTTATTTTGATCCTTTCCCATGTTAAAAAAAAAATTAAAAGCAGTAGATTTGCAAAGTTTTTTACGTAGCATAGAAATCCATTACTAAAATCAAATAATGGGCAATTAAAGGAACCCAGAAAGGGGGTGGGAAGTGTTGTGCTTAACATTACACTTGATGTTTAATATTTATAGAGAGAATTAAATACAGCAGAGATTTCCTATTGAAGCTCTCAAGTGTTTCCATCTGCAGAAAAAAACCAGACTTTCTACCTGATCATCCCATTGTACTTCAAAAACCTGTAAGTAGCTTTTCAATTTCATATGCAAGATTTTGTGTCCTATCACTTAGAATACTACAAATTAAGTAATGACCACACTGATCAAATACTGTAAAAGTTCTTTTGTTTTACAGTTCTGTAACCCAGCTGGAATTGATTTTACTGTGAGATAGGAGTCAGGGTCTAGTAATAATTGAAAAATAGTCCTAATTTGTGGCAATATGTGTGTTATTCTTTTCAGTTAGTTTTTAACATGTTCCTTACCACACAATACATAGTAGTACAGTGTTCAAAGTAATCATTTCAATTTAATCATACAATTCTTTTGAAATTTTCCCACAAGTTGTACAATTTCAATCTTTATTGTTTGACAAACATTGTCCATTATAAAAGTAAACACCACAAAAACAATGCATTTGGAATACAATTTATAATATTGAAAATGAGCTATAATTTAAACACAAAAGTAATACTTTTCTATAGTAACATGCATCTACATCTATTAACATTAGTAAGGTCACAGTATTTAGTTTGGTAAAACTTTTTATTAAACCTAACTGATAAATTAACCTTTTCTTCTACATTACAGGAAAACCACCAAAGTTTTAAGTAGCTTTAAGAACAGATGAATTTGAAGATAAAGAATTATTCGTTTTATATTTTACACCTGCAAATGAAGTGGATCTTTTAACAATAACTAGTGGACTGTGACATTTTATTTTTAATGGTTGGGTATTGGTTTCTCTTGAAATATTTTCCTAATCAATTTCAGCTTTGCAGGCAGTTTCCTATATGAAAGTGGGAATAAATATTGGAAAGCAGGAATTTGGTTAGTGAAGTGGAAAAACTAATTTGCATGCTACTAGCAATTTTTTTGTTTTCTTTTAATAATGGAATGAAAATGTAAGCTGTAAAGATTCCCAAATATAAAGTATTTGCTACACTGTATACATAATTTCTTGGTGCATTTAAAGTTACTTTAGTTATGCTTCCAACTGATTTCTTACCAACATTTGAAAGAATGTTTATAATCTCTCCAGAGGCTTAGAATTATTCAAAATGTTTAGTGCACAGTTCAATGATAGGAGGAAGAATATTTTAATAGGCAATTGTTTCAAATATAACTGGATGTCTATGGATGAAGAATTTTGGGGTTTAAGCTTAGTTTCTACAAATTTTACAGCATAAAGTTAAAAAAAATGCTGATACAAGGTAAGTATAAACTCCCTACTTCTATTAGAGCTATAATTTGTCTAAAACTTTATCTTATTCTGAACTCCTGAAGCCAATACCTTTTCTTCGCTGGTCTTTGTTTACCCATATTTAAGCTTTTAGTCTTTTAATACAAAGTATGGACAGTTTTTATAATAGGCAAGTTCTTTAGTTATAAATATTTTAGTTGGTTAAGTACCTTTTTTCCATACTATTTCCCCTTTATAGATAGGTTCCTGTTTGTCTCTACTCACTCACACAAATGTAATTTGTAGAAAAACTGGAGTCAGAATTACCATATAAATTGTTTTGCTAATTTGCCCATTCTCAAGTTCTGTTGATACTATATCCCAGTTAGCAAGAAGCATGACAGAACCTACTCGACTTTGGAATCTTTTAAAATTTCTAGCTATGATTTTTAAACCATTTATTATTTAAATTTTCAAAAAGAGTTTGTATGTCAAAAGTCCTGATCCTTTCTTACTGTATATAATCAGAGAGAGACTACAAAGACTGTTCTATTACTTTCTTGCCTTTGTACATATGCATAGATTGTTTGAATAATCATTGTACAACTCCATTAATGTTGTTTTTTGTATATAAATTAAAAGAGTTGAGCCAGGTATTGTTTCATAGTGTTTGTCATCTTCAGAAATTATTAGTGACACACACAGAATTCAGTTTAAAGCAATGTGTGTGCAAAATTTACTCCCTGTTCTAGTAATAGCTATGAAAAAAACTTTAGATTGAATGAGGACTGAAGATATACAAAGGTATGGATACATTTGTGAATATATTTGAAAATAAAATTTAACTTACCTTTACTTTCAAGCTTTTTAACTGAACAAAACAGGAAATATTTACTTCAGACCTCTGGTTTCAAACATTCAACTGGAGAACACGGTAACATTTCTATTTGCACAGTATTTTCATTAGCATTTATGATCAAAACAATTATGGGCACATAGATCTAAGTATATAGCAGATACATACTCTTAATTCTAGTGAATAGGAGCTATGATCATTCTAATACTGGAAAATCTCTCTTGCCTCAAGTTTTGTGCTGGTTTTGCTTCCGTTGAAACTTTTTAAAGTCATTATATTACATAGTTAGCTTTTTGATTCATTTAAATTATATAATTGGAACCCTCACAGAAAACTAGTTTCTAGAGTATGCATTTGTCAGGCTATAGTTTGTATCCAAGAATGTTTTATGCTTATATTAAAGTTTTAGTAATGGTACTCATAGGATTATGGCAATGTAGCTGACATTATTGAACACCAAACTTCACTCACAGAAAACTACCCAAAATTTACAAAACACTGATTTAACGTTTATAAGATATCTGCAACAGCTGTCCTATGGAGTGGTACTCTAAAACTTCCCACTTTATCATAATTTTTTGCCACTAAATAGTTTTAGGGTACAATGCAGCAAAACAGCAGCAAATACTGAGAATTGTGAACTTTGAAAATTCAACCAAAATTCAAAGGAATAGGATACATATTAAGTGCATACTAATAACTATAGGTTAAGAATACTTGTTTTGCACTTGAAACCATAAACAAAATATCTAGGAACATCTAGTTGTTCAGGATCCACCATGAAGCTGAAAAGAGAAAACAATTTTTAGATAATGAATTTTCATTAACTGTCAATGCTGACTTCATGGTATAAATCATTCCTAGAGACCAGTTTCTCTCAATTTTACTCTCTTTTAACTTAATGACTATCTTGTACTATAAAAACATTTTAGATGTAGATGTTTTAATCTCAGTGCTCACAGTTGCTTGGAAATACAACATACTTTTAAGCAGGTTCAGGATGTTTCCTTAATCACTGTGCTGTCACATTTGTATACAGCTTCAGAAACCATGTGGAAATAAATGCCTAAGTCAAGTGGTGAATCATGAGAAATTTAATCATATTCATGGATTTCTGATTTGAAGATTAAATCTGACTTATGCATACAAGCCTACCACCTGTCTTAAGGTCTATAGACCTCACAACCTGATCTCCAGCTTCTCAACTACCTTTGACTCTTTGAAAAGAATGTTTTTTCATTTCCATTTATTCACTACTCCATCAAAATCTACCCTAACTTCTCAGCGCTTTTATTAAAACTGTTATGTTGAACAATGACCCAATTTTCAATTCCACACTCTTCATCACTCATTACGTAAGCTCCTGAGAAGCACTATATAGCTCATATTTTACTTTTCTCTTGGTTTCCTTGATATGCATGCTACATTTTTTTCTACATCTGATTATTAAGGAAACTGAAGAGAACGTTTTCTCCCAAGCTTTCGTTGCCCACATACTTTCATCAGTCCCAGCCTTCAGCTCTCACTGCTGTAGTTTACTACTAAACACTATCAACAAGGGCATTCTCTGGGTAGTTCTTGGTACAGAGCACCTTTTTTTCTTTTCCTAGCCCAAATTACCCTTCCTCACCAAGATCTGTCTTCCCAGTTACACCTACCTTTATCCTTCCTGCTAAAGATACTACTAATTACAGCATTCAGTATCCCTCTCAGAAGCTGAAGACTCATTTTTAGCCTCACTTCTGTCTCCCCCCCTTCTTGATAGCTATAAGACTTATGCTTTTGTCATACTTCTACACAAATCATATTTTATATTTGTTTTGCCTACAGTTTACTTCCACTAATGTGCCCTTTTCATTATTTGTCCAATCTTATGTTAAATTCCAGCACAAGGATAATCTCAAAAACTTAAAGAATCAAAGCAACAATTTCTGAAATCCACATAGCATTTGACCAATAGTAACTCCTATATTATATCCTGAGATTACTGACCTTTCTGCAAACTTTTTCCTACTGAACACGAAGCATTTTATAGGTAAGGGGCTGCTTTTAACGTTGTACCCTGTCTAATGCCTAATACAAGGCTTAATATTGGAGCTCAATGAGCAAACTGCATGACCTAGCATTTAACATTTAATACATAGTTTGTCAGTTATTGAATGGATGGTTAAGTGAACACATGAATTTTGGTTTTTAGTTGAATCTTAGCTAAGCAGATTTATTATAAATTTTTATCTCAGAATTCCCTTCCCACGCTATTTTCCAATTACAATTTTTAACAGCTATAATAAAACTATTTCTAAAATAAGTTTATCTCCAATCTGTTGCTTAACGTCAAATGTTGCTTGTTATGGTAATTTACAATATACAAGCATTGGAATACAAATAGGACTAAGTCAACTAAAGGCAGGTCTACTTCTTCAGGTCTCAAATTTTGATATATAAAGAACACTAGAGACAAAATGTGTTGGAGGTGAGTGGTTGAGAGAAGAATATCCTTTTAAAAAGAAAAACAGATAATACAAAATAATGTAAAGCATTGTGAACCCAGAATAATTACCTGGAACTAGCATAGTAGCTGTGAGTTCTGGAGTTTCCAAGAAATCTACATTACTTCTTTGGAATGTCTTGCTATAATTCATCTGAAGGTGGCTGTATAAATAATTATAGGTTAAGGATTATGCATTTTTATTAATAACTTCCCAAGAAAAGTGTAGCAGAGCTCAAATTGTCAAGAAGGCAAAATTTTGAATATATTAAGTGCCTGAACCCAGACTTATCATTAAACTTAGAAAAAAATTAAAACACTCAGGTTTGACAATTTAAAAGTCGTCATAATAAATTTTTAAAGAATTTTAGAAACAGGAGAACACTGATTCTCTACAGAATATAGGGCAAGAGTAGACTTTAATTGCACCAAGAAGTTTAAATGGAAGGAGGAAAGTCTTGGTTGTCAGGATGTTTAAAAAATAGGATAGCTAAAAAGAGCTTATAGATTTTCATTGCTATAGAATAAAATCATCTTAAACTGTGAATCTGGAAACACAGAGCTATATAAGTTGCCTTTAAAGCTCTTTTGTGCCTGAAATTCTATTGCTATCATTATAATAGAAACTGCCTGAAAATAGCCACAAAAATCAAACTTTGATAAATTATGAATCAACTTTCTTATTACCATATTTAACACCCTGAGTATATAAGCTATATTCCCATCATTAAAAATCAACTAGAACTATTTAATCTTACAATAGCAAAAGTTGCCTTCATCCCATTTTTCTAGTTATTTGTCACTAAGTATTTTAAAGAATTTGACTTAACATATATGACATATATACACCTCATATATCAAGAGAATACTGTTCTAACCCTTTTTTCAAGCAATATTTAAAATTTTCTCTTTGCAGACATTTAGAAACTTCAGGGTGTTATTATCTTAACCAATATGTATAGTTTTATTGTTAAATAACCAGAGACAATGGAAAAATAATTTTTTCATTCATTATCATCTGCATCCTGTTTCTCCCTCCTCACATCTTAGGTCCTTTGACTTTAAATCTTGATACCTAAATCTTACCTGAAAGCATTAGGTATTAGCTAGTGCTTAGCATTAGCTAGTGCTAAGCATCTGGCATTAGCACTGCCAAAAATATTTGTACTTCAAGAGAAAAGTAGATTCTAATACATGAAATTCCTAACCATGGGATTTAGGAAAGTGAGCAGAGCAAATAGGAAATGTTTCATGATGAGATAAAGGGAATGAAGTTTTTCTGACAAGTCCTAATGTGTATCCACTGACCAAAAAAGTACTGATCATAACTTACCTATTCCAAACACTACTATTTTCCCAGAATTCATATATCATATAGCGAGATTCATTTGAAAGCTTCTGTATAGAAATACTGCAGTGAGAAAGAAAAGTCATAATTAGATAAGCAAAATGCACTTTCCTAAGCTCTCTGTGTAGAATGAAACAAGTCATCCTTTCATAAACACTGACAGTGACTCCATGAAAACCCAAGTAGTTTTATCAAGAGTAGATTACTATGACATTATCTTTTACATTTTCTGGTTTGACATCACAAGACAGTACATTACAGACATCATGGTTAAAACTATTGAATTCATGCAGAAACATCAAGTAGTTGTACTCAGGTTAAAAAATGTGAAGGTGTGCTCCTGCCCTCATCTCTTCAGTGTGGCTCTTTGGATCTGTTCTGTCCATGTTAAAACTCTCGGCCTTCCCTTCTTGTATCAACACATTTGTTTAGGGTCCTGCTATAAGGCACTTGAGTCTCCTGCTATTATAATGCTGACTCTTAACTTGCCAGAGCTCAATGTTTTTCTCTCCTTATTTATGGACACAGGCCTTTGAAATTTTCTGTTGAGACTATGTTTGAAAGTCCATGAGCTGGCCATAATTATAGTTATCTTTCTGATTTTCCAATTCAGGGAAGGTAAATTTGTTTCTTCTAGCCTCTGACTAGTCTGAGGGTTGCTAAAAACCTATAAAATAAGTTTGGGAGGAGGAAGGAAGGAGGAGGGAGTTTGAAAAGGCAAGATGATACCAAGTCTGGGTTTAATTCTGTAGCACTAAGGATTTATTGAAGGACTTAGGGCAGGGAGAGTGTCATGATTACAACTTGGTTTTAATGGCTGTGTGCAATATCCTATGGAGAGCAGTAGTATAAAGCAGAAAGAAAAGTTAAAAGGGTATAGAAATTGCTTAGGTGACAGATGAAGATCCAAATTAAGGTCTAAAGGAGGAGAGTAAAACAGAAAGATGCCTTTTAAAATTTATGACCAGCTTCTTTAATCCACTGAATGACAATATATTCAGCTTTGGAATAAAAATGAAAGGTTAGAAAACCAAGAATATCCATTTAAGAGAACAGATGCATTACCTATATGTGACCAGCAGGTGGTAGTAACAACACAGATAAATTTTATGTTTTTCTTTGCTGTAGCTATTCCCTAATAAATTCTGTTGCTCAGTTGCTTTTCTGGCTTGCTTCATGAGCTTACAAATATTGTTATTAGACTAATAACAGATTTTCTCAGGGACAGATTGAAATAATTTAAAGGAATTGAATGTAAAGTAAAATTAGAGCCGTTTCTAAACCTAGCAGGTGTTCATGAATATGTTTTGGGAAAAGTTCCTTGAAATCTCAAAAAAAAAAAGCTTCAAGTTAATATATTTTCCTGGGAAGGAGAACCATTGCTTCTATCATAGTCTCAAAGGGTTTACAATCTCTGAATATGTGAAATTGTAATAGACAAATAGAAATCTATAACTGTATTAAGAATAAAGCTCATAATAGCTTAACATTTTAGACTGCCTGTAAACTACCTAAACATTTTTCTTGTTACATAAAACACCTACTTATTCGTGACTGCTGAACTTTTTATTTTCCAGACTAGTCATAAGACCATAAGAAATTCATCAAATGTTAGCATTGTTTCAAGATTTTAAAGAAATTAAAGATCTCACAGTATGATAAAGGTGTAGTGATTTGAAGTATAACCCAATAGGCTGACCTTCAGCTACTCCATATTAGCATTGTTACCTTGCCTCATTATTTAACCTAGTTTTCTTCTCTGTAAAATGGCAATCGAATGCATGTAGAATGCTTAGCCTGGTACTGGACACTGTGTGTGTGTGTGTGTGTGTGATAGCTCAATAAGTAAAAAGAAATTAGCACTTTCACTCAACTAGGAGTTGTACATGTTAAGCCTTAATGGTGTCAAAACTAAGAAGCATGACTAAAGTAAAAGGAGGGAATACAAAGTCAGAGGGAAAAACAGCTACAGCCAATTGTATTGTCTTGGAGTTGATTCTTCTATTTCCACACTCAAGTTCCCCATGTCCCTGACATGGAGTTTGGAACATACATAGGTACCAGAACTTTATAGCTGAGAGTAACTTCAGAAATCATTTTATTCTACTTAGTGTCTGGATTTTAGGCCAGGAATACAAAGAGTAAACTGGTTTTCAAACTGGATTCTATAGTACTTAAAAGCAGAAATATTTTCACTTTTTCCTGGTGGCAAGCATGCTTTTGAGAAGATACTGTATATACCACATAAGTACACTTGGTGTAAGTACACTTGGTGCACTTACTCATTCTGAACATAGGAATTCACTTTTATCATTAAACCATAAGTTAAAGACCATCAGTGTGTGTGAGTGAGAAACAGACATGGCTCATACAATCGGCCTGGGTTCTTGACTAACACTTTAAAATTTAACTGGCTGATGACAAAAACTGTCAATTGCAAATCTCTTTTGAGACTTGTCACATATCTAGATGGCAATAATCTTAATTTACTGGTCTAATTTAATAAATAAAACTTTTTTGTAGTTGGAGGGATCTTCCCTTTTCAACTCCTTGTTAACCATAGAAAGTTCAGGAATCTAATTACAGGACAAGCAAATATTTGCCAAGAAAGATTAAGCACAGATTGTGGAATCAAATAAGCTTGGGCAGGTTTTTGATGTCTGAGCCTATTCCTACAAAAGCTGTAATACAAATCTCAGGGGATTTCAGTGAATATTAAATAATGGGCACAAAATGCTTAATCTAGTTAATTATGAATTTCAACTTCGTTTTATTTAGATAGCGTTTTCTGTCTTAATTGTGAAAATACTGAACCCAATATAATGTGAACAGAGGAAACTGCAAAACCAACAGAGCTTTGTCAAGCAGAAAGGTAGCCATGATGGGTGTGCCAGAGCATGGTATGGTATGAGTGGGATCAGTTGATTGGTCATCAGTTGATAAAGTTAGAAACACCAAAAGACTTTTACATCCTTATCTGCCAAAGAATTGGCTAGCTTCTAGTTTCAACACTGGGGATAGACATGTGTGTGTGTATTTATCATACATTAAATAACTGGAAAACAAAATAGTTTTTTCCTTTGCATTTTCCAAACATTCGATCCTTTTTTAAATGAGCTGACTTTTAAAAAATACACCTCAGCAAATGTCTCAAGTCACTGAACTCAAAAGGACTTAGATGAGGTTTTGAATTGTGCCCCTCCGGCTGGGTGTGAAGTAGAACAGCAACAAGGAACACAGTGTTTCCTGGTCCCTGTTACAAAGGCACCACTGGGAATGTGGTGAGCTGCCAGCTGATGGCACTGAGCTAGTTCTCTACCAGTCAACAAGGAAGCAACAGAAACCCAGGGACACACTTTTGGGTGTCAGTGAATGGGAAGCGCTGTGCTGCTGATGTCATAGTGAATCCTCAAAACCACTGCTTGCGATTCTTGATGAGGGAACTGGGCCAATAAAGGTCTTTACCCAAAGCACAAATCTAGTACAGTATGTTTGATTCCAGAGCCAGAATTCTTACCTCGGGAAGCATTCTGGAGTAGGACTGCAATGCAGTTACTAAAGAAACACCAGAGCAAGCACTCAAACATTAAGCATGTGTTCCCAGAGAATATCTGATGAACATTTGGAAGTATAGTCTAAAGAATCTGCCAAGATATGAGTGATATGGTTGTGACAGTTTTCCAGAAGGAGGTGAATTTGGGGGTTGAGAGGGGTTTGATTGAGCAGGACATGGGGTCATGGAAATCAGCTGGGAGCTCAGGCCTGGGAAGAGTAAGGGGCAATGCAAGAGTGCCTATGCTGAAAGCCGGGTGCTTGATTGAGGGAGGACAGAAAGCAGCAGAGCTGTGGTTCCTGGGGTCTGCTGGTAGGATGAACACAGGATCAGGATAAACATCTGGCATTTGACAACAAGCTCACTGAAGGATTACTATAGGTTTTTGATGAAGGGAATTCTCAATTGTTTCTGGAAAATTGTTCTAACAGCTGTTCATTGGACCTCTTGGAGTAGAGAAACTGAAGATGAGTAGTTCATCTATTTTAGTAGCCTGCAATAATAGAAGCCTGAGCTGGAGTGGCTGGAGAAAGAGCTTTTTCTCCCCTCCAATGACCAAGGTTGGCAGTTAAGACTTCAGAGACTGTAACATTTCCTTACTGCAGAAATGGTTATCGGGCCATAGGGCATGCTGTCAAGGGAGCAGTTAGAGCTAAATGCACTGGAGTTGGGGCCTCCACTACTCAGGATAGTATTAATCAGAGAGCAGGTCTGCCTGGACACAAACGGGAATTTCAACCTGTATGAAAAAGCCTCGTTCATACTGTTCTCTCCATTTTATTTCCCTTGGTACCTCTAATAATCAAATGCATACAGAGTCCTAGGACAAAAAACACTAAAGCTCGGCAGCATGTTATCATCCAGAGGGATGAAATAATCAGCCTAACTTCACAGGAGAATTCTTAAAATGTCCAGCCCCACCTTCACTGGGGCACATTCATGGAACACTTACCGCAGGCATCCACTTTGGGAGGAAGCACTTTCCACATAGTGTTTTAGAGCAAGCTGGAATTCTTCCAGGTCCTCTTCAATCACAGACATTTGACGCTGCACGAGCATGATGTGCTGAGGGAAGGGGCAAGTGTTACTGTCTTGGCTGTCATGGAGTCTGGTGTCAGCCAAAAGCCACTACCCATCCCTATTTTACAAATGATTCTCATTTAAACCTATGTCAAGGAAGGCCATAATAGCCCAAGTAATATCACTGTAAGCTATAATATGAGGGTTTTTATTGCCTCTAGAAACAGACACTAAAAGTTTCCTTCACTACATTTCCATTTTAAAAGCAGTGGTTCTTGGCCCTCCCTGGTGGCGCAGCGGGTTAAAGCACAGCACTGGGAAGCTAAAGCCACTTCAGTGTGAGTTCAATCCCCCCCTGCCCTGGAGGCGACCACGTGGCATGGCAGACCTCTACTGGCCCGCCCGCTGCTCCCCTCAGCAGTGTACTTCGTCGATCTGCCTGTTCTGCACCCCCTCTGTCTCTGGTGAAGCCTCTCACCACCCCTGAGCCTCTGGCCTGTACCCCAGTTCTGTATGCAGGAATAAATAAATCTTAAAAAAAAAAAAACTGGTTCTTTCCAATTTTTAAAATTTATTCCTTCATTCATTAACTTTCTTATATCTGTTAGTTTTTGTATAGTATTTGATTTCTCCACTCCAGTGTAGTCCATGTAGTTCTCTCACCACCATGGCACCTGTGATCGATCAGCACAGTCCCTTATACTCTTCCCTTCCCTGTATGGACCCCCTGCCTTCCCCATCTCTCTTGTATATATCAGATCTATGGTCAGCTTGCAAGTTTCATCTCTGTTTCCCTTGACATTTTGGTTTCTTCAGATTTTCCATAGAAGTGATTCACCTAATGTTTTATCTTTTTCTTTCTGGCTTATTTTGATTAGCATAATACCTTCCATCTACATCCACATTTCCACAAATGACATGATTTATCTTTTTGATGGCCAAGTAGTATTCCATCATGTGTATACACCATGTTTTCTTGATCCATTGGTCTCTTGATTCCATGTCTTGGTTATTGTAAATATTGCTGTAATAAACATAGGTATGCAAGTTCCCTTTTGAAGCAATGTTTTTGTGTCCTTGGGTAGATTCCTAGGAGTGGAATCATATAGGAACTCCATTTTTAGTGTTCTGAGGAACCTATATACAGCTTTTACAATGGTTGGACCAGTTTACATTCCCACCAGCAGCTTTTCTTTTTCATCACATCCTCAGCAGCATTTGCCATCCTATTGTTTAATATGAGCTATTCTCACAGGTGTGAGATGGTTTTCACAATGTGATTTTGATTTGCATCTCCCTTATAATTAATGATGTTGAACATTTTTTTTTTTCATATGCCTGTTGGATATTCTCATTTCTTCTTTGGAGAAGCGTCTTTCTAGCTCTTCTAGGATTGTTTGCTTTTGTTGTTGCTGCTGAGTTGCATAAGCTCTTTGTAAGTATTTGTAGATGTATGGTATACAGATATTTTCTCCCATTCAGCAGGAAGCGTCTCTACTTTGCTGTCTCTTTTGCTGTACAAAAACTTTACAGTTTTATATATTTCCAGCTGTTTGTATTCACCTTTGCTTTTCTTGTAAAAGCAGTGGTTCTTATTTAGAATGACTGGTGAATTTAAAATTGCATTTATATAAATATTCTGGGACTTGGGGGTCTAGGCACCAGAGAAGTCCTACTTTATGTATTATACAACCCCAGCTGCTTCTTGATAGTTCATAGTATTAAACATACTGTGAGAATCACTACCAACAACCAAATTTCAAAAGAGTGGTGCATTTCCAGAGGTTCCCAAGGTTCCAAGAGTTCTTAGAGTATTAATCATCTACAATATACTCCCATCAAAATACCATGACATTAGATGGAACTTCATGACATTTAACAGTGGATTTTAGTGGGTTGGATGCTAACTATTCCTTTTTGACAATTCCTATTACTATTATTGAACAATCATGGTCCCTAAACATCTGCTTATGGACTTCTCACAGTATTTTGATCTAAAGATTAAGCCTTTATTCATCAGGGGTTGCAAATGAATAAAAAAAAGTGCAAAACGAATGAGTAAAGGCTGAAGATAAATCATAAAAGTGCATAGCAACTAAGTCATAAAAATACAGAATACGTCCAATATTGTCAGGGCAATATAGAATATGTTGAAAATTAACCTGGACAATCTACCTCAGCTATATAGAGGAAGCTCTAGAAGGAAGCCCTCAGTTTGTTGTCTTCTTTTCCAATGAGTTTCTCACCTTATATTAATAATTACTTTAGGCACTTTATGTACTCAATAATTGTACTTTAGAGAGGTAAGTTGTTAGGAGTTACATTCTGGGTATACAATAATAGGTCAAGAGAGAATCCCTATCTTCATATGGTTTTGTAAAGAAATAAGGGATACTTAAGGAATAACTAGGTATGGTTAACTAGCACATGAAACTGATTATATGCATATTGATCAAAAGTGACGACATTTTTGAAAGAACTGTATTGCCAACAAAATATTGATTTTAGTCTTAAAATACTTTGATTGTTGAGGCTTTAAAAGAATAAAGTCTTATGTGAGCAGGAAGCAGGTCATGAAAACTGCAGAGTCCCATGAAGGACAATTCTCTCTCTGGGCTGTGTTTTTATGACTTCATCAGTACAATGGACCAGTAAGTGGTATGCTATTTTATACATATGTTCTACTTTTATCTTTCTTTAATATAATGTTCTGGAAGAATTCAGTGTTTTAAAAGATACATTTCAAAGTATTACATTGTTTTGAAAGTGTTTCCTGGCCTCCTAAATTAGGTTGTTACGTTGCTGTGCAAATGTATTCTTTCCTATAATAATTCTCACCATTTTCTTATTTCAGAACCTGCTTAATTGCCCTTATTTCCATCTAGTCTGTTTTCTAGCCTGTAACATTTAGCACTTGATTTGCCCAATCTCTGGACCTGGAACTTAGTTGGTTATTAGCAAGTTATTCTTGGAACCAACAAATATTCTTCTACTTTTGCTATTGACTATTCTCAAATATTCCTTTAGCTGATATTATTCAGATACTATTCATTTCAGAAGATTTGATGTGGCGCTGAAACTCCAGAGTACTGTCAAAGTTTAAGTGTTCTTTATTTATCCCCATCATTTTATCCTCTCTCCTTTTTTCCCCTCATTTAAGACTATAAACTTAAAAGAATTAGCTTCACTTTTGCCAGCTATATGACCTTAAATTAATTACTTGGTATTTTTCATCTTAGCTTTCTGATACATAAAATTGACATAGTGGTTCTAAAATTAGAGTTCTGGGAGGATTAAATGGAACAGTGTATGTAACAATCTCCCACATGACAGATACTCAATAAATGTTGAATATCTTTTTTGCTTCAGGAAGAGGAAAAAAAAAATGGACTTAAAGATATAGGCTCACCAATATGTAATGGCTCATGTCCCAGAAAACAAGAAATGACAGCTGCCAGAGTGCAGGACTTCTGCTATGTGCTTAAATAAATAGCCTGACCAGCTCATCTGCTCAGGTCTACTGTAGGAAATCTCATATGTTATCTCTCAGTGTACAACCTTGCCAGGAAGAAGACCCCTGCTCCAGGACCCAGCTGTACACCAAACACTAGTGCTGGGATGGTACCGTGTGGTGACACCTGGGGGTCTGGTGTAGAGCCAGGATTCAGCTATGGTATTTCCACCTTTCGACCTCACTGTCTTCATCTGCAGAATAGGGCTCATGACAAATTTAGGTTACTCACTTAATGGCTTTGAGGATCACCTTTGTTTTCTCTGCTTTAAATTCTCAAACACTAGATTATAGTGTTTGAGAATAGGTTTCTACAATTATAATTTAGAAAGTACCACTTAATCACACAAAATGAAATATCCATTATTACATTTTAAAAATTTCACTGAAATAGTAATTTTGAAGAAACTGTTTTCAAATTTTATCTTAAAAAAAAATGTACTTACAGATTTAGTATGCCCTTCAATAACTTCTTCTTCCAGTGGTTCAAGCTTGAGATCCTTCAAGATTGAGAAAGGAAGGAAATGGACTAAGATTAAAAGAATCATGTGTTTGGCAGTTATTTTATGGTTAATATTGAACCACAGGAACCTCATTATCTAAAAGGAGTTGAAATATCAACTGATTTTTAAACTTAAGCTGCTTAAAGATATGTATAGCCACTGTGCCAGCTGCTAAGGAGTGGTTTCCGATGTTTTTAATTTGTTACTGCTTTAAGTTTACTTGACCCATGCCAATAGGAGAGAATGAAGCTGAGAGAAATTTCATCCAAAGAGCAGGAACAGGAGACATTAAAAGGTAGAATTAGGGCCCTCCCTGGTGGCACAGTGGGTTAAAGCACAGCACTAAGAAGCTAAAGCCACTTCAGTGTGAGTTCCAACCCCACCTGGAGGTGACTGACATGGCAAGGCAGACCTCTCCAGACCCGCCCACTGTTCCCCTCAGCAGTGTGCTTTGTCAGTCAGCCTGTTCTCCTCCGCTCCATCTCTGATGAATCTTCTCACCCCTCACACCTCTGGCCTGTACCCCAGCTCTGTATGCATAAATAAATACATCTTCAAAAATAAAGTTAGAATTAGTAGACTGATTTATTTTTCTATATTGACATTTTTGGGGGCGCTCAGAATCATTAGTGCTACTGCTATCATATACTCTAAGGCTACTTTGGCTTTATTTTCAAAAGTAAATTTAAAAGTAAATGAAAACACTTAATATTTGCTAAAAATTAAGAACTACCAAAAAGAACCAGGAATTTTTTCTATTATGATCAATGGACATTGCTAAAGTGTCCCATGAAACCTAAAATTTAATCTTTGAGGACTTTAAGAACAAATATTCTGGTATTTCTGCTGAATATTATGCACAATTCCTTCCGGTAGATTAAGAAATAACATGAGCCTGTTAATAGCAGAGCTACTGCTTCAGCATTCTGTTCCTTGTGATACAAATTTAGGTTACTCACTTAATGGCTTTGAGGATCACCTTTGTTTTCTCTGCTTTAAATTCTCAAACACTAGATTATTAACTCACCAGCTCTGTCCTGTCTTTCACACCTTTATTCAGAAAAGACCTCCTTAAAGTGACCTTCCCAGTGACCCACCTTAAGTTTCAAACACCTTGTCTGTCATATTGCTCCACTTTTTCTTCATAGCACTTTTCACTTTCTTAATTGGCCTTGTATTATGGTTTCTTTGTTTGTTATCCAACTTTCCAAAGACATGGGGACTTCCTTTTGATTCCTACTGTATTCCCATTACAGCATAGTACTTGACATAAGGTAAATACTAAAAAAAGGCCAATTGTATAAATGGGTGAGTAATGGTCAATCTTAATCAGAGCTTAAATTTAGGTAATACATGCAAATTGTGAACAATCTTCAAAAATACATATAGAAACTGCCAAAAAATGTGATCTCCTAAACTGCTCTTGTCTAACATTAACTCATTTGTGCTTTTTCAGCTTAATCTTTAACCTAAGATAAAAGTAACTTAAGTCAGGTTGAATGAGAGCAATATCCTTAACCAGACCCCTTCAAATGGGATGTACTTTGATGATACTTTTAGGACTTCATTAAGAATAAAGGGCTTTGTTTTAAGGTTATAGGAACATTCATCAAAATATGAAAAATACTTTCAAAATATCTTCAGAGGTTAAAATGGAAAGAAAAATGCTAGAAGACATGTAGAGATTTCAATACTGCCCCCATGCACGGTGTTGTGCTTGGTTTACAGTGAAGACTAGTGGTTAATACCGAGTGGAGGGAAGAGATAACATGTACTCCCCCGCAGGTCCACTTCTTTTCAATGGTGGGATTAAATCTAATGCTAACAACTGTAGGAGACAAGATAGCAATGAAATGACTTGCACTTAGCTCCTATTTGGGTATTTCTCTAAAAACCCAATTCAACACAGTACAGAATAAGTTGTAGAAGGAAACTGAACTTGTGCTGCTTCTCCATTCATTAATACAGTTCATGCTGAGCCCCACTCAGCTGGAGTTCCCTGCTGAAGACAGTCACATTCCACTTTCAGCAAGCCTCTCAGACACCCTGTTCAAAATGAAATCCTTTCATGGCAAGGAAAGGAGAAAAAGTCTAGGAAAGAAAGAGGTATGATGCTACTTTGATTTAAAGTAGAAAAAAAGGTATGACCTAAATTTGAGCCATTCCTTTAAAAATAACTAGATAAATGTATGACACCAAATAGAGACAGGCTTGCCAACAGCCTTAAAACTATTTTTACAAGAAGCATTTGAATTCTTTAAGTGAACCCAAACTTACTAACCAACTGTATCCTCATATTTAAACAAGGTTTGGTTTCCTAATAGGGGTCCTGGATTTCCATGTTTTTCACCATTTGAAAACCTCTTTTCTTCCAACTAATCTGTTTAGTCTCAGCTCAGCTCACATATCAATTAATGAAACCAGGAATAAGAAAAGTTGACTTGCAGCCCACTCTGAGCATGGGTTGCCCCCCCCCACCCCGCCCCAGTATGTGGCCTGTGCATATTTAAATGGCAAACATGGTGGCAGAGGCATGGAACTCTGAGGTTGCTTCTGGGTTTTTTCTTTGCACAGCATTTCCTCCTCAGCAACTCTACTCATCTTCAAGACTGGACGCTTCAGTGGAGAATGGCTCTGAAAACTTACATCAATTTCTCACCTACCAGTGTCAGCCTGGGAATTTCACCAGTGTCCTACATTTTTTAAAATTAACACAGCAAAAGATCTCTCTTCATGTCTTCATCCCACTTCACTAGTGACCTCTCACTTGCCTCTCTTGTTTGCTAACAGTTATCACTGTCTCTGAAGCTCAAATTTGAATTCTTAGACCCATATTTGAGATCCCCTGGTCCACCACGCCCATATGATGGCCTTATTAACTTCAACTATTAAATCTGCTATTTTATTTTCAGTCACCTAGTCCAGGTCCATCTCTTAATACACCTAATCCAGGTGGGCTTAGGTCTACAGTATGGTCTTCAATGCCACTATTTGAAAAGACTCAGGTAGCTCTGACTTGAATTTTCTTGTTTGAATTAATTTTGTATTCTGGCTGACATTTTTTTCTATAGACTCATTTTAGTTATGTCACCTGTTGAAAAATAATAAATGCCTCCTATTGTCTCCAAGACCAGGCCAAACTCCTTACCTGTTGGTTAACGCCGCCTGTGATATGTCCATTTATCCAGGCTATCTTATTTGTCAGTTCTCCAAATGAAAGACTAACCATGCTGGTGTATTTAATCCTAGCTTATTCTATCACTTACCTGAACACTCTCTCCAGCAGTTCACTATAACTTTTTTCAAAATAAGTATGTCAGCTGACCAAAATTTTTTCCAACTGTAACCCAACACACTTTTGTTTCAGTGAATTATTTCTTTACCTCTCGGTATTAGCACTTTGGGCCTCTAGCAGAGTCCCAAGTTGCTCTCCCACCTGCTAAACAAAAGGCCATATGTGACTAACAACCAGATCAACCAGATTCTTCCCCTTGGGACTCAATCTTGAGCAGAATGTCAAGGTGGAAGTGTTTGGAATCCATATGTTCCAGTGGAGGGAAGCCAAGAGACAGTTGGATATTTCTTGCTTACCTAGATTGCTAGTTATTTGCCTCCTGCCCTTTGCTCAATTCTCATCTCTAGGCTGTCTTGATTCTGTGAGTACTCACATGCTTTGAGAAAGAAAACATTTCTGATTAAACAGATGGTTTTAGTTTCTTACGACCAAAATTCCTAACAGTAATTCTTTTGAAGACCTAATTTATTATGCCTTCCTACCTTAAGAATTTCTTCCTAGGGCCCTCCCTGGTGGCATAACGGATTAAAGCATAACACTGTGAGGCTGTTGCAGCCACTGCAGCATGAGCTCAACACCCGCCCCAGAGGTGACCCACAAGGCACAGCAGGCCTCTCCTGACCCGCCTGCTGCTCCCCTCGGCAGTGTTATTTCAGTCCAGCTACCTGTTCTGCTCCTCACTCTGTCTCTGGTGAATCCTCTTACCTCCCACACCTCTGGCCTGTACCCCAGTGCTGTATGCATAAATAGGTAAATTGTTTAAAAAAAAGTTCTTCCTAATCATACCATTTCAATGTGACCAGTCCCCCGGGTCAGCAGCTATAGACTTTATCCTCTGCCCCATTCACCTCTGGCACATTTTAGTCCATCAAGTATTTACTGAGCATTAACTATGAGCCTGGTTTCATATTGCCACATATTTCTCCCCCCCCAAAAAAAAACTGTCAATTTTTTAAATGTAGCTTGTTTTAAAGAACTTGGGTTATAGCTCTATCCCAGCTACGAATGTTCTTTCTGTGGTGTCTGACATGCACAGAAAATACATTTTTATGGAAGGGGCCTCTTCCATTTAAGGGAAATATCAATTGAAATAATAAAATACCAAAAAAAAAAAAACCATGAAAACATAAAACATAGTTCTGATGAATTCTTCATTATATCCTAACTTGGATGCTACTGGGTAATAATTTTGTTAATTTTACAATTTTGTAATATTTTTTATTGGGGTAACAACTGTTAATATTTTCAGTCCATGGAGAACCTTCCCACCTATTCTGTGTCCCCCACCAACCTGGAAGCCTAATTCTGTAGTCATGGACTAGGTAACTTTAATGCCTCAAATCATTAATTAATATGCTAATTTATAAAAGTTGAGCATGTAAACTCACACAACTATCTCCCTGAATCCCTTTGAAACATTTCCAAGACTTCGAGCAGGTTATCCCTAAGAGCTATCTTCTGCAGCATTCAAGCACACCACTACCATGTTCTATTCTGCATATAATTAGGGGTGGGGATTAATGTGAGTTTCTGTGTTTTCTTTAACAACAACAACAAAAAAAATCCAATTAGCTAACAGTCTGGTGTATGTAGCATCACTGTGTTTGAACTGATACCCTATGTGGCAACTACTTTTGGGGGCCATGAGGTGCAAAGAGTCAGAATCCTCTAGAAGGTTTGAAAGAGAAGAAAAAGAATTACCTTCTTTTCCAGTTTGTCAATTAATTTCTGGAGTCTGTTTATCTGAGTCATCCACTGGTTGTCTTCGTCCAGCAAACCTTGAAGAGAGAACAAGGAGGGTGTAAGTTAAGCAGGCCAGGAAGCCTTTGGCATCTCAACACTTTCCTTTTTCCCTGAAGAATGCAGTGCCACCAATTTGTCAGACATTTAAAGGAAACAGAAACACAGATATTCACAGGAATGTGAAAAGTAAAATTTCCATAGATCCACGTATCCCAGCGGGCTTATTTTCACAAGTCTGTTTAGCAGTGTTTTTTGTACTAACCTTTGATAGTCTTGTAATGAAAGAACAGGTTCTGCTGAGCCATATTTACCACCCCATGAGGCAGTTGGTTTTTCTTTTCAAAAAAAATAAAGCATCAATCATTGTAAATTTACTTCTGGGGCAGTGGCCCGAGCCAGGGAAAGCATAACCCTGACCACAACAAGATGTCAACTGTGAGAACCAAACAGAAGAAGAAAAAGGTAGCCAGTATCTCCTTCGCCAGGGACTATGCTGAGTTTCGAGGGCCAATATAGTCCAGATATAATGGTTAAGAGAGCAGACTGGAGCATGCTGATCTTGGTCAAATTACCTGACTCATCTGGCCTTGTGAGTTCTTATTTTTAAAAAGAGGATAATATGAACACATTCATAGTCCTTATGAGGATAAAGTAGGTATGTGTGTGTGTGTGTATCCATGTTAAGTATATATATATACTTGTAAGTATGCATGTGTGTGTACATGGACACATGGCTGTATACAAGAGCATGTGCAGCACAAGTATACACACCCCCTCGAGCTGTATCTAGCACCAGGCTAAACATTGTGTAAAGTCTATTTCTATTATCATTGTCGTGACAAATATTATACAGTGGGCAAAGGGAAGCTCTGTGGACTGAGCTCCTGCACTAACACCCCCATGTCCTTCCTTTTGCTCACTGCTACTTGCTCAAATGCTTTCTCAGACATTGCTCAAGTCCAATTATTTAATAATTCTTGACAGGAGGAGATGACTGAATTTAAGACTTAAGCCTGAAGCTTTGAACATTAAGGTGACAAGTCCTAAATTATAACAGGATAATATGTGACCAAAGAATTAACTTGTCTTCCCTTCTTGGGGGAAGCACCTCTCCAAGCCCACCAAATAAATGATGCAAAAATTAGCAGTAACACAAAGCAGTGGCTGCAAAATTAGAAAATACTCTAAGTGTAAAAGCAAACTCTTATCAGTGTAAAAGCAAACTTTATTTCTATATTTTAAGTCACAAATTCATTAACTTATTTCCATTCTGGGTTGTTCTTAAAGAGATTTAAGGTGGCTGTCATGTCAACGTCCTAATTTAGCAGAACATTTAGAATGGGCATAACAATTTTCTAAGTGGGTCAAGTGAAAGAACAACCTGTACTTTGACTCAATACTGTCATTTTCTAGTCACACATGGTTGATTATCATTGTTTCCCATTCTTCCGTATCTTGCTGTGAACACCTCTGCCTGTGCTGGGAAGTGCCACTGACCACAGGGATTGCAGGACATTGTGACTGTTGGCTTGTGGACTCTTGGGGATAGAGAAATGCACACAGCGTTTTTCTTTTGTGTCATTTATTTTTTACTGCTACTGAAGTATTTTTACATTATATTTTAAAAATATTTATTTATATATGCATACAAGAGCTGAGGCGTAGGTCAGAGTTGCCCAGAGGGAGTGAGAGGACTCACCAGCCACAGAGTGGGGAGCCAAACAGGTGAATCTATTGAAATACACCCTGAGGGGAGCAGCCAGCAAGACAAAAGAGGTCTGCTGCACCATGTGGGTCATTTCCCTGATGGGGATCAAGCTCATGCTGCATTGGCTGTGGAATGCTTCATAGTGCTGCATTTTAACCCCTTGCACCATCTCCAAGGCCCCATTTTACATTCTGTCTAGTGTTTTGACAGTACAGGGTCCCCTCCCCCTTCAATTCTAGTCACCACAGCCCTCCCTCCACAAAAGCACCCAGAGTTTTCCATCACTGTTCATTGTGGTCTTCTCCCAGCAGTCTCCCTGTTTTTACCCCCCTCCTTCCCCATTTTCCTCTGAAAGCCAAAGATCAATAGTTAATTTTCAAGAGATTTTACTAAGTGAATTAATCCACAAGGAGAAAGATCAATATTGGATGGTGTCACTTACATGTGGAATATAGAAAAACCAAACAAAGGGTCAAAGACAGTCTTTAAATAAACTCTTGAATACACACAATGATAAAAGAGGCTTTAAATGCTGCAAGCTTTGGGACCTCCTTGGTGGCACAGGGGTTAAAGACACAGAGCTATCAAGCTATCACCAGCCACTGCAGCACGAGTTCAAGAGTTCAATCCCCGGCCAGGGAACTGACTCACATGGCACAGCAGATCCCTCCTGTCTCACCCACTGCTCAAGTCAGCAGTGTATTTCAGTTGATCTGTCTGTTTTGCTCTGTACTCTGTCTTTAGTGAATCCTTTCACCCTCCCTACCCCCCACATCTCTAGCCTGGACCCCAGTTCTTGTATGCATAAATAAATAAATCTTTTAAAAAGATGTTCTATGTCTTGCCCTGGTGGCTTGTGTTTCTGACATCAGCAGGGTTCCCTGAGGGGCAAAATAGATCCCAACCAATAGTCTGGAGCCAGAGATACATCACAGTGAACCATAAATTCATGAAACAAACACCCCAAATATTTGTTATTGCAATCACTGATATTTTGACATTGCTTGTTTCACAGCAAAAAAAAAAATAAAAAAATCCTTAAAAATTTTAAAGCACACTCTGTAATTATAGGCATAGTCAGTACTTTGATTTTTCTGAAATGTTAGATATCAAAAGATTCACTTGTGTTAAAACATGCTCAAGTTATTTATATATATGTGTGTGTGTGTGTGTGTGTATACACACACACATTTGCACATATATATAAGCATATATAGATGCTTTATAAAAATTACCCTGACGTTTCACACCATGACTTTGTATATTTCAACATGACTATAATGTAATTATTATAAATGACACAGTACAAATGTAATAGCTTAAGATTTACTATGAAGGCTTTAGTCCAATAAATAACACTTGAAAACTAGAAGCTATGACTTTCTTACTATCATGAAATGAAGTAAGGGTTCTTTTCCTAGGATGAGTTTGGAGTATCTTCAGTAGGTGAGGATCTGGTACACAGCAGGGGAATGACTAATGGGTTCCTCTTCTGCTTGAAAATTATGGAGATTTCTATGGTCTCAAGTGTTTCACGTTTTAGGGGTGAGTCATTTTCCCACTCCACCACCTCTGTGTTGCCTTGGTATACCTACTAATATTTAGACAAAATGATGGTGAGAATCATCGTCCAGTATTTTTTTTTTAACTGGGGTACAGGCAAGAGGTGCAGGAGCAGTGAGAGGATTCACTAAAGACAGAGTGGGGAGCAGAACAGACTGACTGATGAAGTACACTGCTGAGGGGAGCAGCGGCGGGTCAGAGGAAGTCTGCTGCGCCATGTGGTCACCTCCTGGGCAGGGATGGGACTCATGCTGAAGTGGCTTTAGCTTCTTAGTGCTGTGCTTCAACCTGCTGCACCATCAGGGAAGGCCCCATCCTCCAGTTTTAAAGCCTTGGACTCTCAGCCACTTTGATTTCAGACAAATTTTGTTTGAAACAAGGAGCATTACATTAATATTGTAGCCAATGTGAAAACACAAACCCAGTTTTGATGCAGACATAACTGCATTACCTGGACCGCTGACGGTGAACTGAGGACTGTTGGGGGAGAAGCTATTGTGTCTCTGCACTCGGCGACTTGTTCGTTTTCCAGGCCACTGAATCGATAAGACTTCTGGCTTGGTTGGCCCTTGCCTGAAATAAGAAAGATAATTCTGAACCTCAAAGTCAGAGCTGCAGTCCTTTGCTTCAGTGAACAGATCTTCAAGCATCAGTCACAAAGACTTTCTAGTGTAACGAAAGAACTTCCAAAGATGTATGTGTATTCACGTACAAAATACATACACGTACGCACACATGCTTCTTTGTGTTCAGTTTCAGAGCATCTAAACTAAACTTACCATTGGCTTATGAAGTGGATACTTCTGGAGTTGGGTATTGACAGGGAGGGATATGATAGGGTCTTTGAAGTTGTTAACTGAAACTTTCAATGATCATTAGACAAATTTCATTAGGTAATTAAAGTGAGGATTTGATTCCAGGAGGCAGTAGGACAGATTTTACTCAGTGAGAGCTGTTCTAATAAATGCCAGTCTGAATTTAGTTTATTATAGGTAGAAATGGTGAGTCACTGACATTAGGAATGTAATTCTTGGGGCTTTGCCTGGTGGCGCAACAGGTCAAAGCACCACATTATGAAGCTCTCCAAAGCCATTGCAGCACAAGTTTGATCCCTGACCAGGGAGCTGACCCACATGGTGTGGCAGACTTCTCCTGACCCACCCGCTGCTCTCCTAAACAGCGTATTTTGTCAATCTGCCTGTACTGCTCCCCACTCTGGTGAATCCTCTCACCCCCCCACCTCTGACCTATACCCCAGTTCTATATGCATAAATAAATTTTTTTTTTTAAATGTAATTTTTCATTAGGAGGGGCTTCAGTTTAACCTGAGGCTAAACTGATGCTAGGAGGAGGCACTTCAGGATGGAACTTCTCTCTTCCTGAGGATTGCACTTCCTGCAGACAAAAGGCTGGGTACCCTTTGTTAAATATTCTTTATGTAGATCTTAGTCAGAAGTAGGTATGAAAAGACTGACTTTACCAGCACGGTCAGGCAGCAGCTCTTTCCCCTCCCCCAACACAGGACAGGATGTAGGTTGTTCACATTTAAGTCTATAAAGATGGCTTTGTGCTCATGCCTGCTAGACCTGGGACCAGAGTGGGGTCCCAGAAAAATTTTGTTCATAGAATGCTGGAAATCATTTATGTATTATTAGTGAAATCATCTTGCTTTGATTGTAATGGTATAGACGTATACATATGTAAACTCATTCAGCTGTATTTGAACTCAATAAATTTTAAATGACTCAACCTTGGAAAAGAATTAAAAAAAAAATCTCAACAACGAGAAGATGACAAGTAATTCTGTCTTAGAGGAGTCACATGACTTACTGGTTTTACTGTCCTTAAGTTCTTGCCTCTTGTCTGTTAGGACCTTCTCAGAAAGTGAGTCTGAACCTCTACTCTTCCTCCTTTTCTCTTTGTAGGACTTCTAGATCTGTTGCTTACATCTCTACCACCTACTTTTTCTTGTGTGTCTCTGATCACAAGAAATGGTGCAGTACCTCTACATTCATTGCAGAACTATATACAGTAGGTAAGCTACAAAACAGACCAAATGTCTGTTAAGAAGATGTGGTATGTGGTATGTATACACTCAGGATTATTACTCAGCAACAAAAAAGATAAACTTTTGCAATTTGTGGCAACATGAATGGAACTAGAAGAGATCATGCTCAATGAAATAAATCAGAAAGAAAAAGAAAAATATTGGATGGTTTCACTTTTAGGAGGAATGTAGAGCATCCAAGTAAGGGGCCAGGGGGAAAATGTTTTAATGAAGTTAAAATCAAAATCAATAGGTAACATGAACCAGAGACATTCTTTAGAAGGAAGTGGGGAATAGGATCAAAATGGGTAGGAAGAACATAAAGGACGATGGTGAATTGGTGGTGGGAGTTTCATGGAGACTGTATCAAAGATAAAAAAAGCATACATTGCAGAAAAATGAAGTATGGTATAAAAATAATTTAAAAATTGGAAAAAAAAGACAAAGGGACAATATAAAAAAATGGCACAATAGATTTATCTTCTCCATATTCCACATTTCTGTCTTTCTGGCTCTTCTACCTTTTTTTTTTTTTTCTTGGTGGGTTTGTTTTTAGTCCAAGCACTTTTTTTTTTTAAGATTTATTTATGCATATAGAACTGGGGTATAGGCCAGCAGTGCATGGGCTGTGAGAGGATTCACCAGAGACAGAGTGGGAAGCACAACAGGCAGATCCACAAAGTACACTGCTGAGGGAAGCAGCAGGCAGATCAGGAGAGATCTGCTGCACCATGTGGGTCACCTCTGGGCCGGTGTCAAACTCACACTGAAGTGGGTGGGGCTAGCTTGCAGTGCTGCATCCTAAGCCTCTGTGCTGCCAAGGAAGGCCCAACAGCACTTCTAATGGTTTTTTTTATTATTATTTAAATATATATTTATTCATATAGAACAGGGGTACAGGCCAGAGATGCGGAGGGCGAGAGGATTCACCAGAGACAGAGCGGGGAGCAGAACAGGCAGATCGATGAAGCACACCACTGAGGGGAGCAGTGGGTGGGCCAGGAGAGGTCTGCCACACCATGTGGATCACCTCCAGGGCAGGCGGGAATCGAACTCATGTGGATGTGGCTTAAGCTTCTCAGTGCTGTGCTTTAACCCGCTGCACCACCAGGGAGGGCCTGGAGGGCCAGTTTTAATGGTTTTTTAAATGAATGTAGTGAGGGAACAAAATAAATAATGTACCAATCTTTTGCTAACCCTTCCTGCGGATTTTCCTAGGCATTCAAAATGAACTTTCTAGTGGTTTGGTGGTGACAGGAGTTTGTGGGTAGGGGAGCCCTTACCCTATGTTTAGGGTAAGGATATGTAAATCGAAAAGTTAATACTAGATATCAGTGAAATTGAACCTTTTTTAACTTCTAGAGTAGATAACTATGAAAAGGAGAAAAATAACTTCCAGGCGTAGCAGAAATCAGTCATTTTTGGATAAAGAAATTCTTCGGAAAACAGAGCAAACTTGCAGATTCAAGTATAAAAAAGGGAATTCACATATAATTAAACTCTTTCCAGAAAGCTAGTTTGTGAAGGAGGAGAGGTTTATATAAGTGTACGTGGTCCTCTAACGAGAAACTTCTACATAATGTAATGATTAGTCTTGTCACTGGCTACTAGGTACTGTAAAAGAAATCAGATTAAATTGGTTCCCATTTAAAATAGTTTTCCAGGGAAGATTCAGAGTATTATAGAATGCCATCTGAAAAATCTCACCTCTGTGGCATTCCAGCTGTATTCAGCTCTTCCTTCTGAAATTGCCATTTTCACATGAGTAGACACAGACACACTTTGCCCAACATGGCATGTCTAACTCATTACTATGGGATGAATGATACAGTGTGATTCGGGGGGTTGGGGGGGAGAGGAAGTAGAATAGATGACTTCTCAAATTTGATATGTTCCAAGAAATCTTTGTATCCCTAGGAGTCACAAATATTAAACTGCAAAGAGGTACTGATACTGAAGAACAAATTATTAAAACCTGGCGTTTTTAACGATAGCTGGGGGTTATAAATGTTGGCTCTGCAGGGCATCATGGAATCTTCCTTTATGATAAATTCACACTGGTGACTTTCTGGATATAGTGATTTGCCTTTTCCTCTCTTGAACTTGTTTTCTTTCCCACCACATACTGCTGGGAGACTAGCTTCCCTTAACCTCATTTTCATAATGTTGTTCCTCTTATTGATTAACTACCAAACAATTTCTTATCAAAGTAGTTCTAAATGCATCAATCTACAAGACTTTTCCTAACCCCACATGCCAGCTGGGCTGGTGTCACAATCCCAGTTCTTCAACCACAATCCTTCTATAGGCTCCTGTACAGTCCCTTTGACTGTGTCATATATTCAACACAAAGTTGTACCCGGTGGAGGAAGCAAGGCAAAGATACTGCCTTCTAGACACTCAAAGTTGAATGAGGAAGAGAAACAGGCAAGGGGCGGAGAAGCCGAGGGTGCTAGAGAGCACGTGGGCTAAAATGCAGGTAGAAACCTGCTTTGGGAGCAGCGAAGCCTCCTAGAGGAATTGCTGTCTGCACAGGAGCAAGCAGGGGATTCACCAGATGAAAGACTATGGGTAGTAAGGGAGGACGATGAGCCCCATCCATGAAGAATGTTTTCCTGCAATACTAATAAATCCCCACAAAGATCCTGTTCGAGTCCTGATCCACATGGGGCTTCTTCACTGATCTCGTTTGCCATCATGGGAACATCTTTCCTTTCCCTAAACTAGCAAGGGCCCATGGGCTTTTCTCACTTTGGTTTCTGATGCTTACAGGAAGCTTATAGGAAGACAGACCTTTCAAGCTGGGCCTAATTCACAGGCTTTGGTCAGAATTATTTGCCTCTACTTTGGACATTAGAGACACAAACCTATGGTGGAAAGTGTTTTCTAGTTGCTGGTATGTATATAGTCTTTTTAGATCCCTTTCTTCTTGACAGGAAATACTGTGTATTATCATGGAATTTAAGGTGAGACTTAGACATCCCTGGGAGCCTTAAATACCATATTATTCCCCAGACTAATACTGGGCCTTTGATATTTCCCATTCTTCCAAGCTGTTTTTGAGCTAGAAATAACTCATTAGTCCTCTAATGTCTTCTATTTTCCTTAAACTCTGCATTAAAGTTCTCATTAAACACAGCTGCTGTGCAGCTGTTGGCAACAATCACAAGAGTTCAAGACTTGCCTGTGGCCTACCACACACAAAAAAAGTTTTATTACACATTCTAAAGGTGACAAGTACAGAATGTAAGTTTGTAGGAGGTAACTATAGAAAAACCCAAAGAGCAGATGAAGAAAGACAGCAGAGGGTGTTTCCAAGCCTCTTCTCAGGTGGCAAATGATTGATTTCTAAAAAAGGAATTCTTTTTTTGTTTTTTTTTTTTTGTCAAGAAACTCTAAACAAAAGAACAAGTCCAAAAACAGCAGCTTCATTCTCTCATTAGGAACATGGCATCAGTTGCATTGTGCTTTAAGACATCCAGTATTCTCTGCTGAGCCTGAGAACCTGGGCTGTGTTTCCCATAAACTAATTGTTTTACTTTGCCATCTGATAAGGAATTGTAAAAAGGAAGTTTATAAGATAAAAAAGACACACAGACTCTAAAGAGAGCACCCACATGCTCATGGACTGTGCAACTTCTTGAGATCTGAGATTACAGGCTTTTTTGTTCGAGTTGGGTGGCAATCACTCATTTTGACACTGTAAACACATGGTTGAAAATTCTATGTTTCTGGGGTGTCCTAGTAATTATGTAGCCATTAATTTGTTGAGAAAATCTGGCCCTAACGAGTGTATTATCAGCCTATTCAAAAAATGTACTATGTGACTCAACCCTAATTTAAAATGCAAAAGTTAAATAAGACATATCTATACATTTAAAGTAACACATGCAGTAATATATTGCATAAGCAAGAATTTTTGGCAAACCACTCTCCAGTTTGCAAGGTATGAACAGTGTAACTCAAGAAAGAACCAATCGTTGATTGGAATTATTTTAATGTCTGCTTTATACATTTCTAATTCAGGTTTCTATTTAGCATTCATGTCTATTTATGCAACTAGTATAATATGGCTACATATCATCTCTGTGATATTAAGTGGTATTGAACTTTGAAATCTTTCACCATCATTCACTTTTCTCTATCTCCTTAAAAAAGCAGACTCACTAAATTCTCAAGTCTCCTAGGATAGCCAGATTCACTTAGCCTGTAAGGCTCATTCCCATCACTAACATCCATTCGCAAGATGAATTCAAATGTCATCAGGAAACTCCTGAAGTTGTATTATCAATATTTGATCTTTTAGTCTTCTAAGATTTCTTGACAATTTCTTCTTCTCTATGCACTTATCATTTTGTATCTAAAACTATAATGCATAGTTTTAATGTTTATGTGGTATCCATATAATTCACTTTAATCTCTTTAAAGATTGGGACATTATCAATGTGTCTTTTAAAATCTTCACCGCCTGCTATAATTCCAAGTAATTTTTGATGTATGGAAGATGGACAATAGAAGTAGAATTGCCGTTTTTAGAGGCAGGTGTAAGGCAAGCACTCCGGGGCAATCTCTGTCATTCTGTATAAATCTATCAGTTCTCATTTTCTCACTAGTTTAAGGCTGATACCCTTTATCTGATCTTCAAGTCACTAAAGTGACATTATATTAAAGTGTTCAACTTGCCTTTCTTGACGGGTTTGCTCTTCAGTAGTTTCCATGGCACATTCCAGAGAATTTTGGAGAGACTGCAGCTGATTCAAAGTCTCCTTCAATAAAAACCGTGTCACAAATTGTTCCAAGTTGGATGCCTCTTGGTAGTCCTAAGGATGACAAAATGAATACAGTTTGAAGTATGGTAGTTAAAAACAAGCAGTGGTGCCTACCCTTCCATGTAGCCACAAATCTTGGCTTAACCCTTAAAAAGGAGAGAGGAAAGAAGACATGACAGATGCTGGGAGCTGGGGCAGAGCTCTAGCCACCAGCGGAAATTGAATAAAAGAGCTACAGAAACTGTGAATAATCTAATTTCCCATTGTGTCTGCCTCAAGATTAGGAAGAACAACAAAACGCACTTGAATATGGAATAGACATCTGTAAAAAAGTCTATTACCTGGGAAAAAAAAATGTTACTCAGTTTGTTCTCTATTTCATTTAAATGATGACCATATTATCATGAGTTGTCTCTGTTACCAACTAAATGCAGTCACGTTTCAGCAATTGGCCATTTTCTCTTGTTGTATTTATCATGCCTGATCTGCATTATACTAACATCAAAGAAAATTATGTGCAGTTATCTCAAAATTCAGAAAATGTTAGACTGCAAATATTAAAACAGTGAACAAAATCTGCATATGTACCTCTCCCAGTAACTTCACCTGAGCATGTTCGCTCTGGCTTCTAGTGTAACACCTTGAACCATTCAAATGGCCCCAGGTCCACAACGCGATGGTCACAAACTTAATAGCAACACTTGGCAAATTCAGTCCAGCTATCAATAGACGGTGGGTTGCAGGTAGTGTCACCTGCTTTTGTAGAGCTCTGGAGAGTTGGGGAGTACAAAGAAAGACAAGAAAACTAGGATGGCAGGGAATGAAATGGTGCCAGATCTTCCCTTTTCAGGTCATGGCAACCGGTCATGAACCCCGATTTTCTAGAATCTTGGGTAGGTTGATATAAGCTCAGCTGAATGAAGGATTTATTTGACTCTTTTCCAGAACACTCTTTTTGTTCATAAAAAAAAATCTAATGTTGAAAGGAATGATGATAACAGGATAATGCCAGGAGGCACGCATTCTGAGAATCTTAGGGCATGGTGGCAAAGAGCAAACAAGACTTATTTATCCCACTGCTTTGGGTCTCAACTTTTTCACTTACAAATCAGCCTATATATCTCTGGCATCCTTTCCAACTCAAATATTCTGTACTCCTCTCAAATCTAAATTAGGAAATATTGAACTTGTGGCCTCTTAATATGGATTTGGAAATTTTTTTTGTGTTAGAAGAACAAATTAACACCATAGAATACCACGTCTCTCCTAGTTGGTCATCATAAGCAGTTTCAGTTATTGGCTACTTCTTAAATCTGTTTGCAGATAGAAAATTTTCTTAGCTACCATATTTAATAGTATTATTTAAAAATGAAAAATATTTGCTTTTAAACCCCATCTAGGAAAGTAGGCATAAACCAGACACTTTTTACTTGTACTAATCATAAATACTTTGGTGAGTTAATTCAAGCTCTCTTTCTACATATATGTCTCTCTCTGTCTCTCTCTCTCTCTCTCTCTCTATATATATATATATATATATATATATATATATATATATATATATATATACACATATGATTAAGTAGCTTACTATTTAGTCCTAACAAAAGCTTCAAAATAATTTCTAAATGTAATTTAAAAAATTAGGCTCTCCCTGGTGACGCAACAGGTTAGGACACAGCACTGCAAGCTAACTGCAACCACCTAAGTGCAAGCTCAATCCCCGGCCCCAGGAGGGGCCACATGGCGTGGCAGATCTCTCCTGACCAGCCCGCTGCTCCCCTCAGCAGTGTACTTCGTTGATCTGCCTGTTCTGCTCCCTACCCTATCTCTGGTGAATCCTCTCACCACCCATGCACAACTGGCTTGTACCCCAGTTCTGTATGAATAAATAGTATCTTTTAAAAAAATTAAGTTATACTTCCTTTGAGAGAAAAATATAACAGAAAAAGGTATGCTTGACTCTGTGACCATTTTCACTTTACTGAGGTGTTGAACATTATTGAAATGAGCTGTAATGTGTAGTCACCTATTATGCCAATTATATCTCCATCTCAGTGTAGAGTACATCAAAGGAAAAGTTAGTTATTTGTCAACAACACGGAAAAGCAAAGGCCTACCATTTTCCGAGCAGTGTACTATCACACTGGCCTTACTCTTCTTTGTGAAATGTTAAAATATGTCAGAATTATAGACAAGACTTTTTTAGTTACCTACTTTAAATACCCCCATCATCGCAATTTGATTTTAACTGCTTCACACAAAGCCCATGCCTTCTATTTGCTTATGTCACTGTCCTGAGCAGAAACTCTGTCCATGCTTGTTTGCGGGTCATACTAGGGATGCCCTATATTTGCTACTGTGGACTTACATCTAAAGATTCTGGTGATGTTAGAGTTAGGTAGATTTTAAAAGAGATTTTGCTACATTTGGCAGAAATTTTGATGTGTTGGCACTGAAAAAAATGGTTAGATAAAGGAAGGCTTTGGGGTATTACGCTTTTTGGGTCAATCATGAAGGTTTGCTGTTCTGTGCTGCCTGCAATGGCAGAGTCTTAAGTTTGTTTTCTAACTTTTTTTTTTTATCCTCCCAGACTCAGCTCACAGCCCTGTCTCCACTAGGGCTCGGTGCGGTTCCTGCCTTCTGTGTTGTTCCTGTAGTGCCCTTTCCCTTCCCAGGGTCAAGAACTTATCGCTTCATGTTATAATCTGTGGGTTACTTATCTGTCTTCCCCATTGTAGAGCAGCTCTTTATAGGTGGGGATTATGTCTTAATCATCCCTGCTTGCAGAATGTCCAGAACAAAGGCTGACTCATCCTAGCAGCTGCCCCATAAATGCTTAAAGTGCAATGAGGAATAGGGAGCATCTGGAGTCTGCACCGCAGTCACCAGCTGCCACCCTGCCTCCTGCCCATGGGGCTGCTGGCTGGGCTGTCAGGTCCGGGTGCTCCGCTCTGGTGGGCCAGACTGCCTTGTTCTTAACAGACGGTCTCATTTCAGTTTCAGGACCATTTGTAAGCCTTCTCCTTTTCCTTTATCCTTGATCTTGAGGCTTGGATCTGTAGACCCAGGCGGCATAGATCCCGTCTTCCTTTCCTTCTCTCAGATACACAGCAGATGTTCCTTTGGAAGGCAGTGGCAAAAGCAGCAGATGGAAAATTAAATAGATAACAAGCTGGAAAATGTCAAAGCCTGGCCCTTTTTATTCCCAACAAATGTGTGGCTGTGAAGGTACAAAAAGGGATCTCTGCATGCTGAATCCCTACAAGAGGTATAGGCGAGCATACGGCACTAGTTCCTTTGAGCCAAATCTGGTATTCAAGAGACTGGCAGAAAGAACTTCTAGTGGTCTAATAAAAATGTGCAGATTGTACCTGATGTCCAGATTCTACCTGCTTTTTTTTTTTTTTTTCACCAAACCCATTTAGTGCCTCATGTCTTCCAAGAAAGGATAAGGGCGAATGCATGCTGTTGTCTATTTCTCAGGTTCCAGTAGCAATTATTCAGGTTGTTGATAATTGTCAGTTAAATTAAACATTAAATGAAAATTGTTAAAGTAGCAATATTTCCATGTGTACCTTGGAAAGCCTGAATGTAAACATTTCGACCTGCATATTTCCCTATGTGTAGAGCTGAACAGGGCTAGCATTGATTCATGTCAAAGCCCCAGCATTAGAAGCACAGTGCTTTGAATACCAGGTTTCTTAGGAGACTGTCATGCATCCTAATTGTCTGATCATTTCTCAGACAGCAAGTTCTTGCCCATCTGGGTGAAGGTAGAATGGTGATCTTAGCCATTACCCCACTATGAATCATCTGAGTTAATTAGGAAAATCAGAGTGTCCGACTTTCCTGTTTGTATGTGCCCTGTGTGAAAATTAATCAAGGCAGTGACATCCAGTCTCAGTGTCTTCTTGTTTATGAGCGCAGATACGATCATGTTTTGCAGGGGGTATTGCTTCTGACTGCCTTTGATCTCAGCCCCTGCAGCTCTCCCTGTTCTTGCGAGAGACATCTGTGCCAGTTTCTATAACAGGAAAACATTCACTTTTACCAAGATAAGGCTGCCTTTTTCTCTTTCTGTTTTCTCCCCCAAAGTGTTACTTTTTTTTATACTAACTGGTTTGCACTTTATCATTTATGTACTATTTATTTAAACATTCTTAGGCTTTTATTTTAAATGGCACATTTTTTGTTCTTCCCAAATATGAGAAAAGCACATTAAATTTAAGCTTTCAAAACAGAAGCAAAATTAAAAAAAAAAACTGCTCCTTAATTAAGAGTCTTAAAAATGGACTGAGGTTAATTCTAGATAGGTCTGTAGAAATATTATATGGCAAAATAAAGAGGGTGAGATATTTTCAAACTGCAGATTTCTGAAGATTAAGCAAATTGCAGGATTGCAGGTTAGTGAAAAAGGAAACAAAGCTTTAACATTGGAATAAAATATTAAATAACCAATAAATTGAGATCATTTCTAAATCCAATCTGAACTGGGTACTCTAATTTGAAATCAGAAAAACACTTTAGAGATGAGTCATGTTATTTCAAGCCTTCATACTGACAAACTCCATGATAAAGAGCTCACTCTGGAGTTGTCAAGGATTTATTTCATGCAGGTTTCTCTTCTCTGGCTCTTTCTACTGCACACCAGGAGACTCTAACAGGCAACACTGCCTCTTAATGTCTGTCCAAAAACAATTGCAGCCTGCAGGGCAGTAAGCCTTTGCAAAGAGGAGGACTTTCAGCAGAACACATGTGTGCATGAACATGGAGACAGAGAGAGTCGATTCAAATTTGAAGATTGGCAACAGTCAAAAACATTCATGCACATCTACAGACATTACAAACATTCACACACATCTAACAGCACAGCATGGGGGTGAAGAATAGGGAGCTGAAGATATTACCCTTAGGCTCGCATCAGAGCTCATGACACTGAACAGCAGTGTGGATTTTGGAAACTATTCAGTCTTTCTAGGTCCCTTTCCCTCTACCTGTCAATAAGAATAGCACCACTGATAAGCTTGTTGTGTTAATACAATACATCA